AAAAAAATGGCAAGCTTTCGTTCAAAAAAAAACCCAAGATAATCATACTACTGTAGATTTTTACGAGAGTTGTTTTTTAATACCTACCTTCGACCTTCATTCCCTCAGCCATACATTTTGCAAAGCGACAGCTAGGACAGCGTTTTCGACAAGTTTTGTCAACATGACAGGATGAATCGGCAGAACACTGGTAGTGCTAAACATTACATGAGCAGTGCAAGAAAATAATAATGCGTACAGTCATAGCATTAAAAAGGGAGTGTGTAGAGTAAATCAAGCTAGGAAAAGGTTTTAGAGATACGGAAATGCCTTTTTTGAAATAATTACTGAAAATGAGAACACAGCTTTGATTACGGTAGGAGGAGAAAGCATTACGAATAACGCAGATACGGTAAAGCTGGAAATTAAGCTCACCTTCTTGTTTTGCACTGTTCTTTTGAAGAAACCCTGAAATAAGGAGGAAGTTAGCTGGGAGAAGAGATAGTGCAACAGTAACTGGCCTTGGTCTACGGCCCTGAACTCAAGGACTTGCGTCTGCCTCGAGGGTAGCTGCAGAACGGAAACCCCATGGCCAGAGAAAAGAGAAATCTCGCCACTCACCTTGCAACTTTCGCAAGTCAACAATCCATAGTGATATCCAGAAACTCGATCGCCACATACCGGACAGGCTTCGGCTTCGAGCGCCGGCTTGAGAACAGTATCCACACCTACCATGGACCTCCTCGGTGCCTAACACAGACCGCAGCTCCCCATCGCACTGCGAGCCGCCCTCGCTCTGTGTCTCTTCCTTTGTTATACAATTTCACGATGCGTCCAGCCCCTCCTACCGCGCCCACTCTCTTCCCTCAGTGGTGTTCGTGTGAGAGTGTGAAGGTCGTGAGCTGGTACTGTAATGGTCAAAAAGAGAGAGAGAGATCCCGTGCCAGGTACGCAAGTTTACGCCTACGGTAAGCCGAGAGTAGAAATAAAATTCGTTTTGTAGAGAGTACAAGACATGGCAGTATTTGTAAGATGAGTCCGCTGCCAATCGTTCTGAAGAAGCTATGGAAGTGCAAGTTTCAGTACGGTTACCAAACTTTGAATGTAGCTATGGATTGCCTCAGTAATAATCTTCTTCCAAATACAGCTCTACTTCCTTTTACAGAATACCGTGTTCATGATGCGCTGAAGGCTCAGATAGCAATCTGAGCCTGATATATTGCATTTTTGAAGTGACAACTGGTAATCAATCATTACCCATGCTCGCGCTGGTCAACTGTTATGCCAAAGCAGTGCTATCTGTGATCATAAACGTAGAACTCCGTATAATGATGCAAAGGACTCTTGACATAAATAAACATACTGATCAGTCCCTAGCACTTCCAGTTGCTTCCGTTTTGAATGAACTGAATCCCCAAAGCACTGCTTTGGTTGTGTACAGCGGGACTTTTGAAAAGCTCCACTACTTAGAATGAAATGAATCTTTTGAAGAATGGAGATTTGTCTACGCATTTTTTCAGCCAGGCTCCCAGGACTCTTTGCATCTTTCCGTTCAAAATCATTTCGAGAAAGGGAGAGAGCGAGTTTTGAGAACGAAGGGCGGTCGCTGAGGCTATGCTAGCATGCGCGAGGAGGCTCATCTCAGCGAATGCTAGAACAGGTTCGAAAAAGGGAAGCAAAAACTAGCAAAAAGAGACGCGAGCGAAAGTATAGCGCTAAAAAAGGAACGAGCGCTGCGATTGCGCTCTTCTTCTCAAATCTGGTAGCTACAGCAGGGAAGGGATCATAGGGATTACCCTTGACGCAATCCTGTGTATGGTTGTAGAAGTGACGTATAAGGTGGTCACTTTCGGTTTTCTGCTTGTTTTCAACAGTGGTTTACACTAATGGAAGTTCTAAGGACTAATGGAAGTTCTAAGGGGATTATCATCGATGGGCCTTTCTCGCCTTCCCAGTAAAGATGATTATAGATCTTTTTTAGA